GGGTGGAAGGCTGGGCGATGGCCCCGCCCCTGCTGCAAGGAAAGGGACTGGTGCAGGCACTGAAGCATGAGGCTGAAGTCCGTCGGATTGGCCGCAAGGGGCGGCTCTAACCCGTCGGCGCCGCCCGCCTCGGCAAAGCCGTCGACCGCAGCGGGATGGGCTAGCCCAGGCGGCGGCGGGGGGCCCATCGGTCCGGAAGCGGACGAAGGGGCCCGAGGGACAGCAAGAGAGCGCGCCTTCTCCCACGCCGAGACCAGCGCGGAGGTGGGTCCCTTGGGGCGCGCGGAGACCCGATGTGGGGCCACGGGCGCGTGGGACAAGACGGCCTCGATCCCCGCAGGATCCAGCCCGAGGCGCGCCGCCTCGTCGCTGAAAAGCTGAGGCACCTCGGGCCGAGCGCTCCGGGCAGCCGGAGCGGGGCCCAGCGGTTCGGGTCCGCCGACCATCGTGGAGGCCGCGTGGGCTGCAAGCAAGGCGCGCATTTCGGCAGCTACCTCGGCGCGGGTCATGGGAGCCCCGTCGTCCAGAGACGCCGCAGGAGCACCAGGAGCAATCGGAGCAGGACCCGCGACCCGTGGCGGCGCGGCGGCGCCAGCGCGCTTGGCGGGCGGGCCGCGCGGCGCTCCAGCGACCGCGGGGGCTCGCGCACTTGGGGCCGCGCGGTCGGCTTCCCCGTCGGCCGCGAACCCCTCGGGCTCCTCCATCTCGTCGGCAGAGTGGTAGGGGGTAGCCCGATCGGCCCCTGGGAGAGGCTCTTCCCCTGCGGTAGGCGGGGCGCCGTGCAAACGAGCGTAGCCCTCGCGAAGCACCCGAACCCCCGAAGGATGCGGCCAATAGACGCGGCTGCGCACCTCGGCGAAGGGAACGATGCCTGCGTCGTCGCCGACCTCTAGAGGGTACAGCGACTCGAGCTCGAGCTCGGCAACCTCGATATCTATAACGAGGACGGATGCGGTAGTGGCGAGCGGCCGTGAAGCGGCCCCCTGGAGCTGGACGTCCACTAGCTGGAAGGGGCCTATCATCCCAGCAAAGCCATCCGCCTCGGCAGCCTCGAGCTCCGCTGTAGAGCGAAAGGCACCAGGCAGGGCCAGCAGGATGCCCCCTTCTCGAGAGGCGAGGGGGATAGCCGCCCAGCTGGTGTCGCCGTCGTCTAGGCGCCATCGTGCGTAGTCGCGCGCCGTGGGCGCAGCGAAAGGGTAGAGCTCGGGCCAAAGGGGCCCTCCGCCAACTGGTGGCAGCTCCGCCATCAGTGGGCGCCGCCGTGGACGCCGCCGCCCGCACGCTGGGCGTCTGCCCGCTCGAGCGCTTGAGGTCGAGGCGGAGCCCCGTAGGCCAGCGCTCGCGCCGCACGGCGGTCCTGCTCAGGTGAAGCAGAAACCGCGCCGCGCGGCCAGGCGGAGGGCCAGAGCCTCCGCCACACGTACGGGCCCAGCAGCCCGAGGCAGCAGCCCGCGCAGGCGCTGCAGGCGGCCGTCACCCAGAGGAGGGCGGCGACCGTGCTGAGCAGCCAGGGAGAGACCCCGCCGCTCAGGTCCACCGCCAGCCCGAGGCAGACGGTGGGGCAGGTGGAACCCGCCGAAGGGAGAGGGCAGGAGGCCCCCTCACCCTCGGACGAGTCCGCCTGCTGGATGGACCAGGCAGGCGATGGAGGCCCCTGGTCCTGAAGCACAGAGAGGGGGGCAGCCACGAGCCGCTCGTAGAGCGCGGCCCGCAGCCCCCTGAACAAAATCTCCCCAGCGCCCTGGAGAGCCGCTTGTGCGACCGCCTGCATAAGGCGCCCGCACGCGCGGCCGACGGGGGGCACTTGGGCAGAGAAGCTGCGGAGACAGCAGGAGCTTGCTCACAGAGAATAGAAGAGGCAGGAGGAGGAGGAGGAGGAGGAGGAGGAGGAGGAGGGGGAGGAGGGAGAGAGGAAAGAGAAGGCGGAGGTGGAGGAGGAGGAGGAGGAGGAGGAGGAGGAGGAGGAGGAGGAGGAGGAGAGGATGATGGGAGGAAGGTAGAAGTCGCAGGAGGATCAGGAGGCGCGAGCAGAAGGCCTGCATCGCCGCCCTCGCCCTTTGCTAATTACCTGTGGAGGGTGGCATGGCGGTGTGCCTCGACACCCCGACCAACCCACCGCACGTCGGCCACAGCACCCGTGTGGGAACCGTGGAGGCCCCAGTCGCCCGAGACGTCTTCGGAGAACGACCCACGTCTTAAAACTGCCTGCTCATCAAGAAAAAAGGCCCAACTCACTCACCAGACGGCAGGATCACTCAACATCGAATCGGGAGATCGGATCAAATCGGGACGTGCGTCGCATCGGGCAGCTCCAGCACCGAGTCGACATCGAACCGGATCGGCTGCGCCTGGATGCACAGATTTCGCCTTGCATCGGGCAGCACCCCGCTCAAGGTCGAAACAGCTACGCAGGAGACAGGCGGAGGAGGGCAAGGACGGGGGGGTGCAGGGCCAGCGCGGGAGAGGAGGACAGAGCGACGACGTTTCCTCCGCATCTTGGCATGGAAAGGGGAGGTCCTTAACATGTCGCGGCCGCAAAACCGTGTGGTGACGGACCGAGTGGTGTCCACGGCCTTGGACCTCAGAGGCCCGGGCCGCCCGAGACGTCCTCGGAGAACGACCCGAGGCCCTAAACAGTGCGGTGGCCCCGAATCGCCACTGGCTCACCACGCGGATTGGTCACCACAACGTTAGGGCGACGAAACCTATGCATATCCACTGCTCCCTGGCCAGGCCCATCCTGAACCCCAAAGCTGTGTACACGCCACGCCCTTTTGGCTTGGCTGGGAGGGCGTATACACAGCCCCTGGGGCCAGGCCAAGAGGCAGCGGGCACGTGTTCATAGATGTCGTCGCCCGCAACGTCTGGGCCTTGAGGGGGGGGGGGGTCCCCCAGAACCAGCTCTTCAATTCGAATCGAGTTCCGACGGGCCCCTGTAGGGCCCCGGGAACCTTGGGGGGGGGATGGTGGGGGGCCTTACCCCCGGGACCAGCTCTTCAACCCGAGTCGGTTTTCGACGGGCCCCGGGGCCCCGGGTGTCCCGGGAGCCCGAACATGGCGAGACATCTCCCAGACCCGTTCCCTTCTGGGC